TTTACTCTTCTGATTGGAGGGGAGGTTTGTAACCTGGATGGTTGTTGGAGAGACTTCAGGAGACTGGGTAAGGTCTTTGGCTGCTGACTGGTGATGTCGCTGAGAGCTCCCACTTCGTGCTTTGACCGTGGTGGCCAGCTCAGTCAGGGCCTCCTGATAGCGTAGGTACTCACTCTGGCCAAAGACCCCTGTCCCATAGCAGGCTGTTTCATAACCATCCAGAAGGGTATTAATGAGGGCCTTACACACACCCTTGAAAGGAGCACTGGTGTTTCGCAGGTCTAGCAAGTAGGAGCGAAAATTCTTGCCCATTAGGGAATGGGGATGCCGGCCTTCAGTATGAAATGGGATTTCAGATGCACGGATGGCGTCCAGACCTTTTATCCTGTAAAGATAGTTGTAGCAATTTTGATTTCCCTGGGCCTCTAACTGTAGCAGTCTGGCATCATCATTTGCAAGGAGCTGGGGCTCGTATTTGATATCCTGCACCCCTGGATAGTCGAATATCAATCTCCTCTTTCAGATCCTTGGGAGCATTGTGTCCCACGGGGACATGAGGTCCTCTTCTAGATTTCATTGCAAAACGCATGATTTGCCTCTTCACAAAAATAAACAAGAGGGCAAACACCAGGTTCCCGTACGCCATCACCAGCACGACATTCACTTCGGACAGCCAGTTACTGCTGCACGCCATGGCAGCCTCACCCTGCACAGACCTGCTCTGCTGTACTTCGTTACCCTGCCTCGTCAGCCAGGCTTCCGCTGAGGCAACGGTGTATGGGTTTCCTGGAGCTCCACGGCCATTTCCTTAACCGGGAAGACCAAGCCAGACCTGTCCGAGAGTGGTGTTTTAAAGTCTCCTACCACTATTGTGGTGCTGTCTATATTTTTCTTTAATTCTGCTAATAATAGTTTTATATGTTCAACAAGTCTATAAAGTGGTGTGTAGATGTTGTTCAATGTTATTTATTTTTTTATCTACTGTGCTTTTAATAATTACATAGTGCCCATCTTTATCTTTTATGGTGATTTTCATTCTGAAGTATATTTTATCAGAGTTTAGTATCACTTTTTTGTGGATGCCATTTACTTGGTGTATTTTTTCCCAGCCTTTGATTTTGAGTCTAATTTTCTCTTTGTTTATTAGATATTTCTCTTGTAGACAACATATTAATGTGGTTTGGTTTTTTATCCATTCTCTACTCTTTCTCTCTTGACTTGTGCATTTAGTCAATTCACATTAAGTGTGATTATTGACAGACCAGGCTTTATCATTGAAAGTTTGCTATGTTTCTTTGTTGGTTGTTTCTTGTTTCTATTGTCCATCCATTTTACTTTGGTTACTGTCTGAAGGACTTCCCTTAAAAGTTCTTGTAGATTTGGCCTTTTTTCACAAATTGCTTAAGTTCTTCTATGGAGAGCTTTGCTGGGTACAGGATCCTTGACTGACAATTATTTACTTTCAACTTTCTGTATATGCCATCCCATTTTCTTCTTGCTCACGTGGTTTCTGTCAAAAAGTCAGAACTTAATCTGATTGCTTTTTCTTTGTAGGTGACTCTTTGTTTTTCTCATGCTACTTTCAGTATTCTATCCTTATCTTTTATTTTGGAGAATACGTCTATGATATGCCTTGATGTTTTCCTTTTCAGTCTGGTCTATTTAGTGTTTGCTGAGCTTCCTTGATGTGGATTTCCTCATTCTTCATAATACCTTGGACATTTTCTTCTAGTATCACTTCCACAATTTTCTAAGTGATTTCTCTATCTCTCTTATATTCTGGAATTCCATTCATACTTATGTAATTCCTTTTGATGTCATCCCACATATGTCTCATCTCCAATTTTTCTTCTAGTATGTTTTTGTTGAGGCTCTTATCTTCCAGCTCACTGATTCTTTGCTCCATTTCTTTTGTTCTACATTTTTGTCCTTTAAGTGGGTTGGACACTTCTGACATTTTAGTCTTAATAATCTGGATTTCATTTTTATACCTTTCTATTATTTCTAGTACTGTGTTGGCAGTACTCTATCTTGTGATGATTCTTTTAAGTCCTTTTACCTCTTCATCTATAGTTTCATTCCTTCTTCCATTTTTTGCATTTTCTTCCATATTTGTGCAAGTTCCACATCATCAATATGTTTCTTCTGCCTTTGTCTCTGGAGCATTTCCTTTTTGGAAGGTTTTTATTGTTTTCTCCATCATTTGCACCTTCTTCTGTAGTTGTTCAAATAAATCTTTATCAATGTATTTTTTTCTGGTTCTCTACCTCTAGGTTATTCCCTTTATTTGTGGCTTCCACTGTTTCTTCCATCATTTATACTTTTATTCATAGCTATTCACTTCTTTTCAACATATATAATTTACCTTTTTGACTCTGGATTATTCATGAGTTCTTTAACATTCTCTGGGTTTTTTGGTCGAGGGGGGCAGTTTGAGAAGGCTTAATTTGTTTTTCACAGTTTTTGAAGCTGCTTTCTTGATATGATATGAGGTTTTACCTGATAAGTGTTAGATCGTTTCTATTGTGTCTGAGAAAGTTGGTGTTGGCTTTATAATGTTACTAATTGGTTGCCACGTTAAAATTTTCAGTCTATGAGGTAAGCTACTTACTCTACTGTTAAGTCCTTTCTGGAAAAATTAGCTGATAGAGGGACATATAACGCCAAGGACACCTCAGTCCCGTCTCCCCACAAGAAATGGAAAGTGGTTGCTCTGGTAACAGAGATTCACTTCCCCTCACCTTTCCAAATTATTACTACTATTATTATTATTACTAATGCTACTACTATCTATCTATGTCTCTGAATTATGAGTTGGAGGAATTCTAGAACAAATATAAGACATTTATTGTTCTTCTTGTTGTTGTTCTTGTTTATGTGCTGTTTAGTCTACTATGACTAATAGTGGCCTGAAGAATAGCAAATTTGAACCTTCCTGCTCTATCGTGCACTACCCCGTGATCTCAAACATGCTTGAGCCCCCTGTTACAGTCACTTTGTCAGTTCTTCTCCTTGAAGGTCTTTTTCTCTCTGACCCTTTACTTTTCCAGCATTGTGTCTTTTTCCCAGGACAGGCTTTTCCTGAAAACATATCTAAAGCCTGTGAAACACAGGTTTATCATCCTTGCCTCTCAGAAGTACCTAGGATGCATTTCCTCCAAGACAAATTTGTTTACTCTTTTAACTTTTCAAAATGAGATGTTCAGTATTCTTTGCCAAAATTACAATTAAAAGAACATTCTTCTATTTTTTATCCAACTTTCAGATACATGGGAAGCAAATATGAACACTCTGGCTTACATCAGGCATACCTCAGTCATCAAACTGGCATTCTTGCTCTTTAGCACTTTGGAGGGGTCTTTGACAGTATATTTTACTAGTTGTAAGAATTTTTGTTTTGGGGACTTTGAGATGCAATCCATATTGAAGGCTGTATTCTTCAATCTTTTGCAACAAATGCTTCAAGTCCTCCTCACTTTAAGCAAGCAGGATTGTGTCATCTGCATAACCCAGGTTGTTGATTAGTCTTCACCAATCTTGATGCCACATTCTTCTTCATAGAGTCCAGTTTCTTAAATAATGTGCTCAGCATACAAATTGAATAGGTATGGAGAGAGAATACAACCCAGACACACACCTTTCCTAATTTTAAACCTTGTAGTGTTCCTGTGATATTTGCAGAACAGTCTCCTAGTCTAGGTAGGTTTCACGTGAGCACAAGTAAGTGCTCTGAGATTCCCGTTCTTCTCAATGTTAGCCATAGCTCGTTTTAATCCACACAGTCCAATGTCTTTATATAGTCAATAAAGCTTAAATAGATATTCTTCTGTTATTCTTTACTTTTAACCAGGATCCATGTGATACCAGCGATGATATCCCTGGTGCCAACAGCTTCTTCTAAATCCTATTTGAACTTCTGGCAGTTCTCTATCTATGTACTGTTCTAAATGTTTTTGAATGATCTTCAGCAGTTTTTGCTTGAATGTAATAAGTAATATTGTTTGATAGTTTCCAAATTCTGTTGGATCACCTTTTTTGGAAATGGGAATAAATATGGATATCTTCCAATCCATTGGCTAGACAGCTGTCCTCCAAATTTCCTAATGTAGACTGGTGAGCATAACCAGGGCTGCATCTGTTAATCAAAACAAATCAATTGGTTTGAATGAATTGAAACAATTCATCAATTTTGCCATTCCCTTCAATGAAGCTTCTACTTCTTCATTGCCATTGTCACTTGTTCATAGGGTACTTCTTAAAATTCTTCAGTGTCAGTCAGTTCTTTTTGATACAGTGATTCTGTGTATTCCTTCCATCTTCTTTAGATGCTTCTGGGTCATTCAATATACTGCCTGTAACATCTTTCAATATTTTGACTCACAGATTAAATTTGCTTTTGAATTCTCTCAGCTTGAGAAATACACAATGAGTTTGTCCCTTTTTATTCTCCAACTCCAGCTCTCTGTATATTTTATTATAATATTTTGCTTTGTCTTCTCAAGCTGCCCTTTGAAATAATCCTTTCAGCTTTTTTACTTCAGCATATTTCACCTTTGGTTTGGCTTCCCGACATTCTAGTGCAATTTTCAAAGTGTCATCTAACATACATTTTGATTTTTTTTTTCTTTCTTTCTTGTCTTTGTAAAGTCCTTTTGCTCTGTTCGTGGATGATATCAATACTATTGCTACATGTTTATGTTTTGGTTTTATCTCTGTATCAGTCAAAGTTCTCCAAAACACTAAACCAATAGGATAGCTGCATTTTTATCTATTATTTATTATATAGAATCTATGCAGATATCTGTCATATAAATTTATCTGATACATACAGTTTATAAGTTGTCTGTAGCCGCTGGATTCTACAGAGGTTTGTTTGCTGGTTCTAGTGAGGATTAGGGTGGAATGTTGACTTGCTAATGGGTGTGAGTTAATTTGGTTCGGCCTCCTATTTAAAACACATTTGGTCAGCAGTATGGGGCTGGCATCCAGTTTGGAAGTCATCTGCAGTAACCAGATATTTTTTGGGGGGCATGGGTGGGTATCAAACATTCTTATAAGTGGTAGAGCAGTGATCTGTCTATTTGCTGTACAGAGATAACTCATGGTTGCTGTGATGCTAAACATTGTGACAGTGATGTGTCAAATGTGATAATGGTTACCCATGGTGGGCAGTGTTTGGTAGAGCTTCCCAATTCAAACAAGCTTGGAAGCAGGAGTGGCATTCACTTCAGAAATGGCTTGCCTCTGGAAACTCTATGAATGTGGGGTAATGATAAAATTTATACAAATGTTCAGGTCTTTCATTCATAAAGTCGCTCTGAGTCGTCTATGACTCGACGGCACTTAACAACAACACATGATAGCTACATATGAGCCCTCATGGTATGGTGCTTTATGTGTTATTCTTCTGAGAGGTGTCAATGGTTTGAGTTAACTAATGCTCCTCCACAGAAGTTTAGGCAGTTTCTTATGTAAAGACACAGTCTTGGAAACTCAATGAATGATCATTACATATCACTATATAATTTTTGCATATAAATGTACTTTTTAACTAATTTTTTATATTTTTTAGGACATTGTAAAATTTTATACTGGTTTGCATACAAAATTTGTATGCATTGTGTTTCACACTATCATTCTTACTCATTTTGTTTTATAAAATTAATCACCATTGATCTATGCCCATCATTACTGTCTTTCCAGATTCCTGCCAATTATATTCCATTTCCTTTACTCCCACCTCCATCCATCAAATTGTATAACCCTATGATTTTCTCCCTGGCCACCCTCATCCCTCTGCTCCTATCCTTTTTCCCCTTGGATCCCTGTACACGTTTT